GTTCCGGCCCCCTGCCCCCCCCCACACAGACCCACCAATTCTCATGCCCGGCTGGGACGGGCACGGCACGGGCAAACACGCTGAAACAATCCCTGGACTGTCCAGTTCCGAACCCGCCGCAGGGAAGAAAGGGGCCAGAGAGAGAGGAAAGAAAATTAAAAAGAAGTCCTTGACTGCGGAGGCGGAGAGACATCAGAAGACTGGGCTCCCTCTTTTGGCATCGGTGCTGAGAAAAACTGGGAGCCGGTTGTGCCTGATGGGGAGGTCCCCGAGACCCAGTGCCTTCATTCCTTAAGAAGGAAGCTAAAAAATCAAGTTTAAGTGGATCGGAAAAGCCTCTAGCACAACAAAGCAGATGGGAAGGGAACTGTCTGATTCAGGAAGCCACCGGGGGAACTTTCTCCTGGGGCCGAAGGGACTCATCCTACTGGGAACGCAGCATCTCAAGAACAACGGGGGCAACGGGTCGTGCCAGGGGGTGAATGGCAAGTTTAAAGCCCTCCACCCCATCGGCCAGCTGGGCTGGTGGTAGCCACAGAGAAGCCCCCTTCTCACAATCAAGGGGTCGCAGGCATCAAGCTGGGCTCTGGGAAGAAAAAACGGGTCCTTACTCCAAATGTCTGGGAAACAGACCCTGGGCATCCTCTCCAGACCCCCCGAAAGCCCCCTCCCCACCAATTGAGCTGCAAAGACCTGCACATCATTTACGAGAAGGAGGAACGGATCGGAAACCCTCCAACCTAGAGGCGCCCTCTTCCTTGCAGAGGCTGAACCGGGAAATCAGTGGGGCATTTCAAGGTGCAGAAGTTCAGGGGCCGCTTAAACCTATCATAAGCCCTGAGAGAAGAAGAGCTGGACCCCCTTGGGGGGAGTCTTGGGGGAAACCCACCGGATGCTCCTCTAGGCTCTTTGGGGACCTCCAGCTTTCGGTCCCGAACGGTTATAATTACCTACAGAGCAAGGGGAAGAGAATAAGATGCGTGACACGTCTCTTCTTCAGAAGAGTATAGATTTTCTGGAAGTACTTGCTTAGCCGTCAAAGAAATAGAAGATTGTTTTTTTAATGAAAGAACGAGAGAGAGACGCCCCTTGCCCCCAGGTTCACAGAAATTCAGACGCGGTTCTTCGGGCTGCGGTTAAGAGGGACGAACATTTCAGTGCGTTAAGAGACTCAGCTCAACTGGAAGTGTTACTGATGAACTTTAGAAAACCCTGATCTCCAGAAAACAGGAAATTAAAGGAAGGAGCACATGCACACCCATCCACGAAGCACACGAGGGTGAAGATCTTCCGATGGCCCAACACGAGACAGGGGATGCAACGGAAATGGATAAATTAAAAGGCAAAAGAAAAGGAAAAAAAAAAAAAACCCAACACTTCCCATGCATTTGGCACCAGCTGGCAAAAGAAACTACTTTTCATATACATTTAAAAAAAAAAGCAGTAGGTAAATATCAGAGAGGGGAAGAGAAGCTAAACAGTTAAGCCTAGTCTCAAAGGTGTGCAAATAACGGTAGAGAGCTCTGTTAAGGGGAAATTGGTTTTCCAGTTTACAGAAGAGATGCCAAATGGCCCATTATCCTCTTGAAATACAGCGAAGGCGGGCAGGAGAAAAATCCCCCCCCCCGGGTTGCTTCTATAAGTCCTACTATGTACAGAGAGAGAAATACAACAACATACACACACTTTTTTTTTCTCTTGGGGGTGACACATACGTGTGAGAAGATGGAAAACTTTCACCTAAAGAGGCCGAGAACGACAGGAAGAAGCCAAGTGGTATCTGCCCGCGGATCCTAATTCAGGGTTCTTCAACCTCGGCCGCTTTAAGATGGGTGGACTTCAACTCCCAGAATTCCCCA